GCCCCCCAGGCCGGCCGACTTCAAGCTGCAGGTCATCATCATCGGCTCCCGCGGCGTGGGCAAGACCAGCCTGATGGAGCGCTTCACGGACGACACCTTCTGCGAGGCCTGCAAGTCCACCGTGGGTAAGGGCGCCGCGGCCGGACGGGACCCCAGGCTGGGCCTCCTGCCTCCGGCGCTGCGCTCCTGGCGCCAGAGCAATGCCCTTGGCCTTATCGGCCTTGTTTCTTTTTGCGTCCAGGAGCCTTTCTCCGTCTTCCGCTGTGTGGCTCCGGGTGGTCTTACATTTGGGGGATGTTGTCTTCGCGGAAGCGCTTCGATCCCATTCCAAAAGCCAGAGTTTTTTGTTTAGTCTTCACGCAGCCTTGCCCTTGGGGCCTCGCGCCCTCCATCCTACTCAGGCGCGAGCCTCTCGCCACCCCGATCCCCACCCCGCGTCTCCAGTGGTTGCGGGGTCCAGGCCATCCCCTCCTGCACTCTTCGCAGGTCTTGAGGTAGGGTGATGCATTGGGCCCGCTCAGCTCTGGTAGGGATAGCCGGTAAAGGGAAACTTTTGGCCCTTTATGTACTCATCCAAGAAAAAAGGGGGTGTGACGGGGAACCAGGCAGGCAGTAAATTTACTGCCCCAAAGGCCTTTTTTCTGCCACTTGCGTGCCCATGGCCAGTGCAGATCCTCTATAGTGGGTGTTGATCTTGCCTTATGAGCAAGGAGGAGGAGGAGGAGGAGTATTTTCAATGTAGACTAGGACTTATTTTCTCATTTTGAACCCATTTTCGTGATGTACTGAAACGATGAAGTTTAAAAATGCCTACAGAGAATATTAAGACTAAACTACACTAAGTTTCTTGTTTTAACTATAAGTGCGGGTCAGAGGAACTTCAGCTGCCTATCCTTTACCTCAAATAACCTGGTGACTGGCAAACATGAGGATAATTCCTTCAGTACCACTCACTAGGAGAAGTACAGTAGTGAAGTGAATACTCTAAGGCCCCAGGTCAAGAAGTGTACTGGCCTCCACTGTATCTGAAATTGAAGCTGCAGGGGAAATTTCTTCAGGAAGTCATACTTAGAGGTTATTGGGCTTGTCAGGTGGTGTAGACAATAGTTGCTATGGAAAAACCCTTAAAAGTTGTCAAAACTAAAAATAAAAGGCAATCACCTTCAGTGACAGGGATTTCCCCAGGGCGGCATAGCAAACACTGAATAATGTGGAGATTTGAGATACAAAATTTAAAGTTATCATTCCATATCCTTATACAGATACCCTTGGTTACAATACTGATGGTATGATTTTGAGGTTGATTGTTTTCACATTGTCCTGTTACAAAGTAGTACTGCTGTACAGTATTTACAATGTCTTATTGGAAAATTAAACCTCCCGTTTCTTTGTATTATCTGTTTTGTTTTTGAGAACTTCCCTTAGTGCTCTTTTGGAATAGATCATTTTGAAAATATTTGTGCTGTTTGTACTGTTTCTTTTTAAAATATTGGCCTTGGGGCTGTGATATTTCAGTAGCATAGCTATATATTTGTTTTAAATATCTAATCTTGGCTCATATGAGTGCAGAGGGTTATTAAATCATCAAATGAAGTGTATACCGTTAGTATCCGATATAAATAAAGTAGGGTTAAAAACAATTCAGAATTATCAGTGTTTATGACTCCACACTTAAATCTATAAAAAAGAGGGAGATGTCACTGTGAAGAAGAGAAATTAGTACAGGGACCAGAAGGTGGGTGCCTGTGATGGCTTGGGTGGAGGGGAGATGAGTCAAATGAACAAAGATGTGCTTTGGAATGGGGAAGAGGAGAGGTGAGGAAGGGTTTCCAAGCCAGGCAGCAGTGGAGTGGCACCCCCACATTTGAGGACAGGTTGCTGAGGGGCCATGGGATGGATGCAGTGACGCCTTGATTTCTATGCTAAGCAGGGCAGACCCTCTTTTATGGCATCTGGAACCATAACAGTTTCCAAGTAAGCCTTGGCATGATGGCAGTGAAACTAATTTGGCAGAGTTACCTAGGATGTTCAGGAATAAGAAGAAAGCAGGAGGCAGGGAGAACAGCAGTTCGTCTCTCTGTCCCTGACACACATGAATACATGTGCTTGCACGCACTCCCGACACCAAGTGAGGCTGATTTTTTTGTGTGTTGTTCATTTTTGTTTCTTTTACATATTGCCTATAGTTCTATAATACTGTAATACTCAATAAATGTTTCTGCCCCTGGGAAGTTTAGAGGAAGCTGGCCTGCCCCAGGGCATAGAGATGTGTAGGAAACCGAACTAGCCCCCCTCAGTTTCTGCCACAAAGTTGCTTTTCTCTTCCAGTTATCAGTTCATTTGTTGAATACTTGCTCTTGGGCGTTATACCTACTCAGGGGATTCAGCCATACTCAGGCCTGTGTCCTAAGTGGGAGCTCCCAGGTGCTATGACACAGGTGTGCACAGATAGGGGATTGTAGCGGGGGGTGGGTGGGTGGGGGTTGTGGTCTGGAGGTAGGTTTGGGGGCTGGTTGGAGAAGACTTCCGTATTGGAATGTTGTGAAGAAACATCATTCCTCTAGCCCCGTTAGAAAAACCCTTACTTAAACATGATGCTGGGTGTGGTGTACAATTGTGATTGACTCACCTGAATGAGCTCATGGGATTCTTACGAGGCTCATTTTCCTAACTTCATCTCCATGTGGTACAGTGAGCTGCGCTCTACTTAGAAAGATTCTCTTCCAGTTTTTCCCTTACCCTGTCAGGGCATGCAGATGTTTTCTGCTCATGACAGCAGAGTTTGGAAAAGACCCTGAGCCCCACAGCATGACCCAGGGCAGAGTTCCAGGGCATGCCTGGACCAGGTGGGTCACAAAAGTGGTAGTATCATGTAATTCACAGGCTGGAAGAGTATGTCCAGTAAGTGCCTTTTAAAAGCAAATCAGTCTTACTGATTTGGACTTTCTATAAAAGATTATAGTGAAAATCCTTTAGGGAACTGAGATGATTTCCTCTTTTAAAAGAGGAAAATGTTTTTCTTTTGGTATCGTTAATCAGATCAGAAGCTGATTTCGTTAAGATACACAAAATTCACAAAGATATGAAAAGCTAAAAAGATTTTTTTTAATAATTGACCTCTTGAATGGTAGTTGTCTAGGTGAAGCATTATTTTCAAAGAGATTTTGTATTAATGGAATCAAATTACTTAGTCTGTTATAACTAGCATAATTTGACAGGTTCTTTAAGTACAGGAGCAGCTTTTTAAAGTATAAGAAATTAAAAAGTACTTGACTGTAGGAATTTACAACTGTCTAACATATCTTGGACCACTGTCTTTCTCAGTGATGCCTGTATCATAAGTGTACTTAACTATCACTGTGGATCTGTGGGCGTGTGTGTGCACATCGATACCATTCTGACTGCAAGTTGCAGAAACCATTTCCAGCTTGCAGAGCAAGAGAATTCTTGCTCTGTCTTCCTTCTGTTTAACTCACACTGGATTTAGCATAAATAGGCAAATGAGCTTTTAAAAAGTATATTTCAGAAAACTGCATAAAATTATGTATTTGTCGATCTTTGTTTTATTTTTATATAAATGTTGCAAGCTAGCTATTGATTTTGTTTGATTGAAATGGTTTTACCCAAAAGAAGCCCACCCCCACCCTTGCTCCAACAGTATTGCATTCTCCAGTGAGTAGGACTAAGAATAAGAAACCTGGGCTCTTACCTTGAGCTCTGCCACTGACTAGTTTGTGACTTTAGATAAGTAATTTAGTTGTCTGTGCACATAAAATACAGTATTCTATTGGTGAACACTTACTATATACCAGCAAAAGGCCTCACAGCAGCCCTGAAAGTTATCCCCATTTTGCAAATGAGAACACAAAGTCTCAGAGAGGTAGCAGCTTACCTTCTATGGCACAGCTGGTTAGTAGGTGGTCAAGGCCAGGGTTGCAAGTGAGTATTTTTTTAACTATCTTTCAGTCTATTCCTTAGCTTCCTTTGAAATTTAAGTTTACTTTGCTTTATTGAAAATACTGATGGTTCACACATGTAAAGGTTAGATGTGGCAAAGCCCTTTCTGGTTTTCTAATGTGGTCCTACTTACAGCCCTGCAAAGATCGTGGTATAATTATTCTGCAGTATCAGTGATGCTGACTTTGTTTAACTATGCCCATGTCATCACTTCTTGCCTTTTGAATATTAAAATAACGCTCTAAGGATTCAAATATCTTAAACCTTTAACATATTTAAAAAAAAAATTCCGAAATGGGTATATTTAAATATGGGCAAAGTGTAAGTAAGGCAATCTAGATGAGAATTTTGATTTTTCTGGGAAGTAAAATTTTTCACAAAATGCTGGAGTCCATAGGATTGCCATTCGTTTATGTTGCCAAGTAAGAACATTCAAAAATCTATCTGACCAGGCATGGTGGCTCATGCCTGTAATCCTGGCACTTTGGAAGGCCAAAGCTGGTGGATAGCCTGAGCTCAAGAGTTCAAGATCAGCTTGAGCAAAATCAAGACCCCATCTCTACTAAAAACAGAAAAACTAGCTGGGTGGTATGGCAGGCACCTGTAGTTCCAGCTTCTTCGGAGACCGAGGCAACGGGATCTCTTGAGCCCGTGAGTTTGAGGTTGCTGTGAGCTAGGATGTCACAGCACTCCATCCAACGCACAGAGTTAGACTCTGTCTCAAAAAAAAAAAAAAAAAAACCTACCACAGACTTTTTTGAAAAAGACTTAAAATGAAAAAGGAAAAAATAGGAAAGAGAAGATACTGTCTTCACTCTTCTCAATTGTGTAGCAGCACGTTACAGTTCATAGCCTGGCCGCTGAGAGTGCCTGGTCTTAGAAGATGCAAGGACTCCAGGGAAGCTGTTTAACTTGGTTACTGGCCGCAATCCCCGTGTGCTCTTTGTGTGACTCTGCCCTTTAGTCTGTGTGGAGAGAAGATTCAGTCAGGACACCTGTTTGGTGGAGGTGGGGGCGTGGGGTGGTGCAGGTGACTCTGTTTCTTCAGGGCTGGCAGTTGAGCTGGCAGCAGAGTTGAAGGGTCTAAGAAGTAGGTGAGTGTGAATCACCTGAATAAGTGCCTGTCTGAGAGTGTAGCCTTGAATGTTAGGTGATTGACCGGTGGGTC